ACATAAAATTCTCAACAGTTTTGCTCAATCCTAGCCTTGTACCCTTTTACCTCTATGTGTATCCCTTTAGCTGCTGGCCAGGTTCCATGATAATGTCTTACCTTCTATTTCTAGTGTAGGTCTGGCCCATTTGTTAAAACAAAACAAATGTCTACTAGACACATATGTTATACAAAGGCTACATACAGCCCAGCATCTACCAGGAAAGTTAAATACACATGTCTGTACCTCCGTTTCTCTAGAATTTCTGTAAAATGCCCCTTTGGATGGGCAGGCCCTGTCTTGTTCAATTTGGGCCACATCCAGTCAACATGTTAGGAAGGTTTGAGGGGAGAAGGAATATTTCATTTGGTGATTTCTTCCCTGGCCTAAAGGAATGTAACAACATAGTTGGAAAGACATATAAACACATCAGAAGTTACAGTAGTTTGTGTAGAGGAGTGAGGTGAGGAACAGGAAACCTTAATCCTGGTTTCCCATGAATTTGCTGTGTCACCGTGACAGATGACATGATCCCTCAAGGCCTCATGCCTCCTTTGTAAAATGAGATGGATGGACTGGATGATAAAAATGGTAACAGCTAAAATGCACTGAGGACTTCCTATATATCAAGCCCTATAGTAAGCACTTACTGTGGGTTAACATGCTGAAACCTTGCAACACTGCTGTGAGGTAGGTACCACTATCATCCCTCCTTCACAGATAATCCGTGAGACTCTTTCAACTCCAAAGTTCTATAATGATGTGACTTCAAGTGAAAGAATATGGTAGATTGTATTTTCCAAAGGTGGACACAACAATATTTCCCATCTTATACACTCTTTAAATATATATATGCATACATATATATACACATATATTATGTATACATATATATACATATATATATATTTTGTGTGTGTGTGTGTGTGTATGTGTGTGTTTGGGCACAGTGGTTCACCTGTAATCCCAACACTTTGGGAGGCTGAGGTGGGAGGATCACTTGAGCCCAGGAAGTTGAGGCTGCAGTGAGTTGTGATTGTGCCACTGCACTCCAGCCTGGGTGACAGAGTGAGACCAGATATCAATCAATCAATTAATAAAATATTTTTAGAGATGGGATCTTTCTCTGTCACCCAGGCTGGTCTCAAACTCCTGGGCTCAAGCAATCCTCTTACCTCGGCCTTCTGAGTAGCTGGAACCATGGGAGTGTGCCACTGCACCCAGCTCCTGTGCTCTTCTTGAAATATAGCTTTGACACTTGTATCTTTGAGAAGTGGGTTTATCTACCCTCCCATTGAATTTGGGTGGCCTTGTGACTATGGAAAAAGTGATGTCGTGTTGACTTCTGAGGCTAAGTCCATAAAAACCAATATAGCTTATGTTAGTTTTCTATTGCTATGCAACAAATTGCCCCAAACTTAGTAGCTTATCATACATAATACCTGTTTACTAGCTCATGGTTTTGTAGGTCAGAATTCTGGGCACAGCATCACTGGGTTCTCTGCTCAGGGTGTCACACAGCTGAAATGAAGGTGTTAGCTGGACTGAGTTCTTGGAGGATCAGGGTCAAGGTGGGGACCCGCTTCCAAGCTCGTTACATGGATAGTTGAATTCAGTTCTTTATGGTTGCAAGACTGAGAACTGTTTCTTTGGTCAGCTGGGGCTGCCTGCATTTTTTGCCAGGTGGTCACCTCCGCCCTGAAAGCTGGCTGTGGAGAATATCCTTCATGTTAAATCCCTCTCATTTTTCGAATCTCTGAATTCCAGTCTCCAACCTCCAGACCCAGATTTAAATGGTTCATGTGGTTAGGTGAGGCTCACTTAGGGAATCTCCCTATCTTAAGATCAACTGATTCCAAACCTCATTTATATCTGCAAAATCTCTTTTGTCAAGTAATCATGGAAATAATATCTAATGATATTCATAGGTTCCACTCACACTCAAGGGAAGATTATACAAGGGTGAGAGTCATTGGGGCCATCTTAGCTGCCTACCCGATAGCTTCTGCTTGATTCTTTTTTTTTTTAAGACAGAGTCTTGCTCTGTCGCTCAGGCTGGAGGGCAGTGGTGCGATCTCTGCTCACTTCACCTCCCCGTTCAAGTGATTCTCCCGCCTCAGCCTCCTGAGTAGCTGGGACTACAGGCGTCTGCCACCACCAAAAAAAACCAATTTTTTGTATTTTTAGTAGAGATGGGGTTTCACCACGTTAGCCAGGATGGTCTTGATCTCCTGACCTCATGATCCGCCCGTCTTGGCCTCCCAAAGTGCTGAGATTACAGGTGTGAGCCACCATGCCCGGCCTGTTTCATTCTCATGTTTACTCCTGGAATTCAGCCACCATACTATGAGGAAGCCTAAGCACCCTGTGGAATGGTCCACATGGAGAGAAACTGGCCCCAGTTAACAGCCCCAACTGAGCTCCCAGCCAATAGCCAGCATCAACGTGCCATGTGAGTGAGCCATTTTCAAAGTGGATCCTCCAAGCCCCAGGCTGAAATATCCCACTGGCAATGCATGGAACCGATGAGCTATCCCTAGTAAGTCCTGCCCAAGTTGTAAATTTGGGAGTAAAGGAAAAGATAGTTGTTCTAAGCCACTATGTTTTGGGGTAATTTGTTGTACAGCAAAACCTAGTTCAAAACCTATTTGATCACCTATGTGAGACAATCTGTAAGTACTGAAAGCTGTGGACAAGGAGGAGTAGCTTCTATTTCTTTTAGGGCATTGGAGCATTTGGCAGTGTAGGCCTAAAATGTCATTCAGTACATGCTTGCTGATTCATTAGTTCAAACTTATACTGACCTGATTTACACTAGTATACTAGTCACCCATATTCGGAAGCTCCACATTTTAAAAGGGTTATCTAAAAATTATGCCACCTTTTTTTTAGAGTAATGGCTATACTATATATTTTTAAGCCATGTTTGTAAAATGTTTGGGGTATAAATGAACACAGATAATGAATATTAATTTTAAAGGTACAATGGGCTTGTGTGTAATCACTACATAAAGCATTAGTACTTCAATGCATATTCAATTGCTTTTCAACAGTTGTTGTTTTTATTAGAAAAATCAGAAAGCATTGAAAAAATAATCACCAGTTTTGTCACTAAAAAACTTTCATCCACAGATATCAAAACTATTAGGTGAAAAACTGTTGGAGAGGCCAGGAGCAGTGGCTCACACCTGTAATCCCAGCACTTTGGGAGGCCAAGGCTGTCGGATCACCTGAGGTCGGGAGTTCAAGATCAGCCTGGCCAACAGGGTGGAATCACATCTCTATGAAAATACAAAAATTAACCAGGAATGGTGGCAAGCGCCTGTAATCCCAGCTACTAGGGAGGCTGAAGCAGGAGAATTGCTCAAACTGGGGAAGTGGAGGTTGCAGTGAACTGAGATCTTGCCACTGCACTCCAGCCTGGGTGACAGAGCGAGACTCCATCTAAAAAAAAAAAAGTGTTGGAGAATAGAATATCCATACACTCTCAAGGCGGCTCTGTGTGGATTTTTGAAAGGAACAGGTAACTTTACAATGGAGAAACCAGGCAGATAACTTCTTAACCAAGTGGCCGAACTTAGTATCACCAATGTTGGAACAAAGTGACATCATGTGCCTCGCATTGTGATGCACTAAGAATACGACATCACCTGTGAAGCTGTTTTGTCAAAAATTGTTTAACCTAAATCTAATGAGAAAACAGACAAATCCAACTTAAAGACATTCTGAAAAGCAACGAGCTTGGACTGTTCAAAAATGTCCATGTCACAAAAGACAAAAAGCTGGGGAACTCTTCTAGATTAGAGATTAATCAAAGGGGTTAACTAAACTTCAATTTTGATTGAATCCTTATTTCCCCCTCCCAACAAGAAAGGAAAAAATAAGCCATAAATTTAAATATGCTCTGCATCTTATAGTGCCATCCTAAATGTTAATTATCTGAGTGGGTTACTGCATTGTGGTTAAGTAGGAGACCATCCTTGTTTTTAAGAGACAGATGCTAAAATGTTTAAGGTGAAATGTCACTGTGTCTTCAAGTAACAGCCAAATTGTGTAAGGACTAAAATTCTGAACCTGGTTGAGGAATTTTGTATCAACATCTAGTCAACACTGTCCGGGGACTAGGTAGAACAAGCAGTTTTCCTTCGCACGGCTGAGAAGCAGGCAGCCTGACCCTCTCCTCCCCAGGCGGCACGTGTAAGCTCAGCACTTAAAAGCAGCTGCAGCCCTTGGGGAACGAAGGCTGAGGCTGTGGTTCCATTTCTGCCAGAGGACACACACGTGCACCCATGCTCTGTGCACTTTACATGGAAGATGCAAAAGTGCAAGGGTGAGGCTGCACACCTCCCCTAACCCCCACAGGAACTTACGACAGCGGGCCGTGCAGAGAACTTTACAGCAGTCACGTCCGCCCGAGGGCAAAGCCTTGCCCTTTCACTCCCCACAGGACAGCAGCACCAGCTGTTTGGAACACTTTACGGCAGTCAGGCAAAGGTGCGAGGATGAGGCCACGCCCCTTCACCCTCACAGAACAGCTGCACGTGCTTCTGGAGCACTTTACCTCAGTTATGCAAATGTGAGGGCAAAGCCATGCCCTTTCATCCCCACAGAACAGTGGCATGTAGTCTGGAGCACTTTATGGCAGTTACATGAAGGTGCGAGGGCAAAGCCACGGCCTTGTACCCCCGCAGAACAGGAGCCCGTGCTGTCCGGAGCACTTTAACGGCCTTTAGGCTAAGGCGCGGGTGATGCCACGGCCTTTGACCCCGACAGAACAGCAGCACGTGCTGTCCGGAGCACTTTACGGCAGTCAATGCCAAGGCAGTAGGGTTAAGCCACGCCCTTTCACCCCCACAGAATAGCTGCACGTGCTGTCCGGCATACTTTACGGCAGCTACACAAAGGCGCGAGGTCGAGAACGTCTGCTGCGTCAGGGTCTGCTGCCGTTACGGGACTTTGCGCTGTATCTCATTGTGGTCTGGCTGTTGGTCCGTTGGCACACCTACGGCTATTCTATCATGGCTAGGATGGCGGCACTGTGGCAGAAGACCAGAAATTACTTCCTGAGCAAGGAGTTCCGGGAATACGTGACCAGCACTCACTTTTGGGGTCCCGTGGCCAACTGGGGCCTGCCACTGGCTGCCTTTAAGGACATGAAGGAGTCGCCGGAGCTCATCAGTGGCCGCATGACTACTGCGCTCATCTTCTACTCGGCGATCTTCATACGCTTCGCCTACCGCGTACAGCCTCGAAACCTGCTGCTGATGGCGTGCCACGGCACCAACGTGGTGGCTCAGAGTGTGCAGGCCAGTCGCTACCTACACTACCGCTTCGGCGGCGGCACCAAGGCCGAAGCCGGCGACCCTCCGGCTACCACCGCCGCCGCTGCCACCAGCCCCAGTTCCCAGCCCCCGAAACAAGCTTCTTAAGAACTGAGAGGGCCTGATCGCATTTCTGCGGGTCACAAGCACTGAACTGTTACTCTTCCTGAAAAAAGACCAATGAAGACTTCGGTTTTGACTCTAAAACAGTGCAAATCTGACTTAAACCTGCAGTTTGGTTGATAAACAAATACAAGATAGCATTGAACTGAAGTCGAGTGTTGCCTCTTTTGTAAACTGGAAATGTTATTTAGAAGGGGAGGGTGGATTAGCTGGTCTTTCTCTTCACAGGACCCGCAACTCAAGATAGTTTATGTGGGGGAGGAAGACTTTGAATGGAAAGCACCTCACACTATTCACTAACTCGTAGCTTTTTTGTTTTAAAGCTCTCTTGGGAACATGTTTTTGTTACTTGCTTTGGGTGTCCAAGGCAAATAGGGTTGCTTAGTATCACACACGACTCAGAACTTGGTGCAGTCCCAAATCGGTACATCAAAAAAGTCTGGGGGCTATTTCTACTGAGGGAAATGTTTCGAAGTGGGTTTTAAATGAATGTCGTGAGATACACTGTAGATTTACGGAGTCCGTAAGAGAACCTAGGGTCCCTTGGTGACGGAGAGCAATTATGGAATCAGCCATGGAAACAGGATAAACAACTCTGGGGACAATTGCCGTCAACCCTGGATTCTAGACAAATAGGTAAAATGACAAAATCATTCTTTCCTCCTTTTCTTATCCTTAAAAACGGGAAATGGCAGTTTGTAAAACTGGTTACCTATCACTCTGTTGAATGCTAGCTAGAGCTGGGGGTGAAGGTCAGCGGTCAACAGCGGCAGCTCGGAGTATTCCACTAGGAATCCTGGGGGTTCCTATGGATTAAGCACAGAGCTGAGAAAAGGGAAACGAGAAGGGTGGGGTGATGGGGCAATAGGGTAAGGCCATTACCCACATGGCAGAGGCTGCCCTCTAAGATTTGACTCAAAATTTCCCCCTGCCCCTGGAGGATGCAGAAAGTTCCAGAGTGTTTGCTGGTGAACCCCAAAGTAGGTATTCAGAAGTGTCTGAACCCTGATTTAGGTAAAGCTTTCAAATACAAAGAAATTTAAAAGCACTATCAAAGATTCTGAAGAAAAAACAGGCACATTGGTGGAATTCTGAAGATTCCCCTGTCTCCTGTGGCATTTAAGCAGAAGTCCTCTTTGTGGGCAGTCTCATGTGTTTCACGGCATTCTGCCTGTGGGGGCGGGGGGAAACAAAGTATGGGGAAGTAGTGTATTAGTTATCTATAGCCCTGTAATCACCGCAACACATAGTTTAAAACAGTTATCTGATGTAATTTCTGAAGGTCAGGAATCTGGGAGTCATTTAGAGGGGGGCTTTTGGCTCAGGGACTCTCAGCTGTCAGCTGGGGCTGCAGTCTCTGAAGATTTGAGAGGAGCTGGAAGATCCACTTCCAAGCTCACTCAGTTGTTCTGTAAGAGGCTTCAGTTCCTCATCATCTGGGCCTCTCCACAGGGCTGCTTGTGATGTGGCTTCCCTCAGAGTGGTGTTCCAAGAGACAGCCCAATATGGAAGTTCTGGTCTTTTATAGCTCCATCTTGGAAGTCACATACCATCACTTCTGCTGTGTTCACATAAAAAAAAAAAATCTGGTACACTGTGGGAGGACAATATGAGGATGTGAAGCAGGCACTGTTAGGGGCCATCTTGAATGCTGGCTACCACACGTGGTGCTAACGAATTCTCATGCCTTTCTGGGAGTCAGTAGAAGGTAAAGCATGTAAGTTTGTTGCCTACCTTCCCAAAGAGAGGTCACAAAATGCCGTTTACAGTGTTGTGGTCATTACTAACATGCATATATCATAGAGCATGGGTTTGAGAAGCAGAAATCTCTGAAAGATAATAGTTGATCTAAATGTTTTAGATAATTCAGACTACAATGAAGTATTAAAAACCAGTTCTTAAAGTTATGAAATAACTTTATATCCATCCACTTCACTAATGATTTCATGAGTAGAAATTAATATATTTTTAGGTTACCTTACAATATGCATTTTGTAATTTGAGTACATTTCAATAAAAGGCCACTGTCTGTTGAAGACATTTCAAAGTAGGAAGGTTTCTAATTAACCTGGTGAGGGAAAAGGGGGTAATCTCTACTGATAGTTTCCTATTGCCCTATACTTATAATTTAGAGGTCAAAATGATTTGAGAAAATATCCAAAAGATTGCAACACCTCCACAATAATGCAATGCTCCACTTACGCATCTAATTCATAATCTGCCCACCCAACTAAGAGAGCTAAACCCATGTTGCCTAGGATATTAGTGTTTAAAGCCAAATAAGTAAAGCTCAGGAAATGCGACACAGCCAGCTTGCAGTTTGAATTTATATTTTATTATTTTGAAATTCAAACTTTTAATTAAAAACATTTCAAAATACACCAGTACGTTTGTTGTAAAAATTGAGGCTATAAAATAGAGAAGCCAAATTCCTTCTAACTCCCCCCCACCTCAATTCCCTTCACGATACAGCGGAAAAAAAAAAAAAAAAAAAAAAAAAAGCAAACAACTTTCTAGACCTCTACTATTCTAAAACACAAAGAGCATTACAGCATGCCATGCATTGCTTTGTTTTGTTTTGTTTTTTTTTTTTTTGAGATGGACTATCCCTCTATTGCCCAGGCCAGAGTGCAGTGCCACGATCTCAGCTCAATGCAACCTCTGCCTCCCCAGTTCAAGCGATTCTCCTGCCTCAGCCTGCCGAGTAGTTGGGACCACAGGTGCATACCACCATACCCAGCTAATTTTTGTAGTTTTAGTAGAGACAGGGTTTTGCCATGTTGGCCCAGGTGGTCTCAAACTTCTGACCTCAGGTAATCTACCGCACTTGGCCTCCCACAGTGCCAGGAATGCAGGCACAGCCACCACCCCCAGCTGCTATGCATTGTTAAACCTCTCGATCACTGCATGGCTGCAGTGCAGCCAACTTCATTCTTTCCAACAGTTGCATAAGATCCTGTAGTATGAACATGCTACACTTTAACAGCGCTGCTATACACATCTTGCTGTGCACAACCTTGTGCCAAGGTGCACAGCTCTGTTAAATAGGACATGAACAGGTTGATGTCTCTATATAGGCTATATTGCCTTAAAGCCCTCTATGGGGCTTTAGAAAGTTTTCGGAACTGTATCTTTATCAGAGCGGACAAATCCAGTAAGATGACAGCTTGTACACCGTCATCCATACCTTACACATCCTTATATTTATATCTACTTCAGTGGCTGGCACATGGTGGACCCTTGACAAAAGCTTGTTGGATAGATAAGGAGAAACTAGCTAGATACAGATAGAAAATGGAAGTGTTCATAACCCAAAGTTCCTAAAATTTGAAATCAGATCTTAAATTGGTTAGTGAATCAAGATTCCATTTGATCTCAAGTTTTGAAAATATTTCACCAAGTTTCTGAGTTTGGAAGAGTTGTGAGATGAACGAAATTTCTTCTTTCTTTACTGCTGAAGTCTTCTCAAGGAATTTTATGAAATGAGGAAAGAAAATGTAAGACAAAGACTAAATACTATCTGACAGATTAAAGCAGGAAGTTACAGGCACATTTGCATTCATCTGGGCTTACAGAGTTATATTAAGTGAATTTTAACATAAAATATACACCAAATATGCCCCAGGCCTCCACCCATTCTACAGAGGACATCCTTGGTGGGTGGGTGGAAAGGCACTGGAGCACATCTTCACTGGCTTAGAATGGAGCCCTTCCTGCAGGCAGTGAGGCACATGGCAATTCTGTTCCTGAAGGTCCACAGCCAACTTGACCCAGTGAAGTACCACTGGCCTCGGAAACAAGTAGATGCAGGAGAAGGTGAAAGTGAGGCTGACTCCACAGACCGCTGCCTACAATGGGGCATTCATTGAGCAGTTTGGGAAACAAGCAGGAGGAAGTCAGGAACGGATGACTTCATGGGTAAAAGGTATAGAGGAAGCATGAATGAATGTGTGAATTTGTTGAAAGAAAATGTTGTCTTTGAATTTCCACAAGAATGTTGCAATTTCCTTCTTAAATTTCGCAACAAAGGACCAGGCTTAGTTAACAGGATAACTAACATTTAGGTCTACAAATACTCCCACACTAAAAGAGGACCCTTCAGTCAAATATTCACTGAGCATGTGACAGCCAGGCTCTGGGATTGTCCTTTTCAAAAGTGTACCATAAACAAGCTGGCAAGTGAGAAGCTCCCCCACTCCTGCCTGACATCCCTGCTTGTGATGCTGGCCTGGGTCCTGCCTGTTCACTGGTCCCTCGAGTCACCATTCTCCAGCTCCCATGGACCAGCCTAGGTCTACCTCCTTGCCCTACTGCCTTAGGCTACTCCAACCTTGTGGTAACAATTTTGGGGGGTTTTCTTGAGAGATGGTCTTGTTCTGTCACCCAGGCTGAAGTGCAGTGGCATGATTATAGCTCACCACAGCCTTGACCACCTGGGCTCAAGGGTCAAGTAGCTGAGTAGCTGAGACTAACGGTGTGTGCCACCACACCCAGCTAATTTTTAAATTTTTTGTAGAAACGGGATTGCGCTATCTTGCCCAGGTTGGTCTCAAACTCCTGGGCTCAAGTGATCCACCCACAGTGCTGGGATTATAGGCCTGAGCCACTGCACCCAGTGGCAGTAACATTTCTGTACTAATTGGAAATGGCTAGAAAATCACCTTTCAGGCAATGTTTCTTCTTGCTTTCTTCTAAAAAGGAAAGATTTCTAGCCCAACATTTATATCCCAGCGCAGCCTTGGGCATCCTGGGTGAATAGGAATAGGACTTGCCTGCCAGTGGGTAGAGCACTCTGGGTGAGCCTCTAGCACAGGCCTGGCCAAACACAGTCTTTACTAAGTTAAGCAGCTACAGTTTAGGACCAGAAAAGAAATTCACCTTTTAAACAGCAAAAAATCCCTGGATGGTAGCAAGTTGTTTTTTTTTTTTTTTTGGGGGGTGGGGGCTGGCAGATAAGAGTCTCACTCTGTTGCCCAGGCTGTAGT